GTAGGAAAAGTTAGCCTGTCTTTCCTGACCTAATGACTCTTTAACAGCCATACGCCCCAAAGCATTGAAATAAGGGGTTGGGGAAGCTATGGAGGCTGCTTTGTGTACTTAACAATCTTGCAGAGCTACCACAGGCTAGGAAAACAAGACCTCGGGGCAGTTCCCAGTGGGATTTTGAGATCCCTGCCATGCTGTGAGCATCTCTTTCAAACAAGCGAGGAAGAAAAGCCTTTTCCAGATTCTTCAGACCCTCTCATTACAGCTGTCTGAGACTGGGCTCATATATCCAGGGTAATTACAGGGCATCAATCACAGAAGTAAGTAATGGGAAGGTTGGGGGTCAGACACGCCTGTCTTGCCTCAGCAAAGCTTTTGGTGCTCAGCTGTTCCCAGCAGGTTTCTTCATCCCCAGCCTATTCAGCACAGAAAGGGACCAGCAGGAAGCAGTCAAGAGGTTGGCCACCCACTGAAAGGCTTAATGAAGAGCTGATGGACCTAGACAAGGGGAGGAGGTGGGAGCCCTGTGGGATTTCCCCCTCAGGGGAAAAGCCAAATCTAGAAATACAGACCTGCCTTTGCACCTACCGTTTGCACCTACCTAGGACAGTCCAGACTCTGGAATCAACAGGATGTAGCATTTGGGCAGGCAGACTCCTGCTCATCTCTTTAAGACTGATGTATTTGCTTACTCCACTGCATGACACTAAACTCTTGTCCATGAAAAAACACTGAGTAATGGGAGAGCCTGTAAGGTGGGTTTTTTGACCTTTAATCAGAACTCCAGCAAAATCAGGGTCCAGAGAAGGGAATGGAACCTCACAACAAAAGACAGTAACTTCTCAGATTTGTGCCCCTAGGGAGCTAGGATGTCAGTCCTTTAAAGAGGACCTTTCACTAGGTACCATCACTTCCTGGTTGTCCTTTGGCTATCATGCTTCTGGCCTGCAGCACTGCTTTTATCACATGAGCAGAGCGTTTGCTTTCTTGATTGCACAGGACCAGCTCTTTGTTGTGACAGCCAGCTGTGTCCTCCACGTGTCCTGAAATGAGCAGCAGCTGCAGGCAGGCCCCCACCATTCAGCAGCGTCCTTTGTCCTTGAGCTGGAATGCTGTTAGCTGCCGCCACCTTCCAAAGGCCTTAAATAATAAAGCGGACAAATCAAATTCTCAGGTTACCCCTGAGGGGTTGCAGCCACCCTCACAGTACCCATAAACAAAGCTTTTCCTCTAGCAACGGCTATGCCTACTGCTTCATTCACTCAGAACCCTTCTCTGTGTTCCTGTAGCCAATAAGTGAAGTGCAGAGTATAAATCAATGTGAGAAAAGGAAAACCAATGCTCTCTCTACATTCAGTACTTGCTCTCATCTCATTAACGGAGGACCTAATCCTGCATGGATCTTTGGGACTGAACTACCTATTTGAGCTCTAAGGCTTTGCCTGCTCACTCAAATTTATAGCAATTTGCTTGCCCCTGGGTACAAGTCGGCACAGTCCTCCTACACTAATGCGGAGCTTGTTTCTTCCCTGTAGTGGGCTCTTGAGAGGCTGGGGATTAGTGGATTAACATCTCTGATAAGAGTGAGGGAAGGGGCACACGACAGGGAAATTGACTGCTGACACAAAGCTTTGAAAAACACCCAAAGATGAACCCATATAAAGCTGGAAGCTATTTCCCTTTGTTATGAGCAAGTCCCATGCCTTGATGTATTCAACTTCTCCCTAAGCAAGTGCTTTGTGCAGAGAGAGACATATAGGGAACACCAGTTGTCCCTTTGGGGTACTTTTTGGTCCAGTGAGGTCCACAGAGTTAAGGCAGTCATAAATGCTTACCTGAGATAGTAGGCTCCTGGCTTCTTCCTCCAAAAAATTCTGCACCACACAGCTTTGCAAATGTTGTCGTCTCCACACCCTCCAGGCCTTTTCTATCAGCCGCTGCCGGTCCTGCCAGGAAAAGAGGCAGTGCACAGATTGGCTCTGGCACAGATTGGGCTCTGGCAGGCAAACTACCCCACTTCCCTCTAGTCCCACCTTGCTTTCAGTTCCTTTCCCAGGTCCCTCTTGAACAACTTTGCATTGGTAAGGAACAAAGCTGTCTAAGAACAAAACCCTTGAACTACTGTCTCCTGCAAATATTGTGGCCAATTAAGTCACAGCACCCTTGGGAAAGGACAGTGCCCCATCAGTGCTCTGTCACAACTCCTCGGTGACTATGGATGCGCTCACTATATGTGCATCATCTTGTCCCACAGGCAGGTCAGAGCACAGCTAATGCCCAGGAAGCCACACAGAATATATCTGTACCATAGATGGCTCGGGCCTGAGCAGAAGGGGAGGCCAAATGACAGCCCTTGGTAGGCTGTGGACACCAGAGAGATGTATCAGGAACACAGTCGAGGACACAGATTGTAATACTTGCTGTGAACTTTTTGCATAGGCTACAGATAATCTATATAAATCACCCTGCCTCAGCTTCCCATTTATAAGATGGGGCAAAGTACAACTAAGTGTGTGGATATGCCAGTCTGCCATGTTGGCATTTCAAAGAGAAAGATGGAAACAGTAGCCCCAGCAGCAAACCAGGATTTCTGGTACACTCCGGTACTTGTTAAATCCCCAGGTCTCATCTCCCAGGACATATGTGAGGCTGCCAGCAGAGCAGGCTTACCCAGTAACACCCATCACTGCCACCTTGGTGGCAGTACCAGACACTCACCAACACCTGAGCCAGTATCACCGCCCTGCTGGCTTCTTTCCACTGATGCCATCCCCTTGCCAGACAGAGCAGTCTCCTGTCACGCTGGCGAAGTATTACTTTGTGATGCCACCCCCTCAGATACTTCCTCCTATAGGCAAGAGGGTAAAACAAGCTTTATCAGCCCAACAGCCCTACAAGGGAGTCCCTTCCCTGATGGCAGCAACAAGAGCAAGTCTAGAGTCCTCCACTCCACTTACCCAAGCCACTTCTCATTGCACTCCACCTCTGCTTTGTTCTCCTGGATCCCTGCATGTGCAGAAGAGGGTCCTACCACACCAGGTCTCTCTACCAGGTGAGGGAGCAGCAGCCTTTCAGCCCTTTTTTGGTTCCTGTAGATAACCAGCCAGCGGTGAATGGCACTGGGAAAAAGCTCAAGAGAGGCAGATGGTGCTGAACCCTCCTCTTCTCTGCCTCTTCTGCTTTCTAGGAAAAAAAAAAAAGAGGAATCACACAGAAGCTAACCTTGGAGCTAAACAGGGAGAGATCAGAGCTGCCATAAGCCCTTAGTCCTTTGGCTCCTGAACACAGAAGCAATGAGCACCTACTCCACAGAGGAATCCCAGTCAACTGGCTGGCAAACACTACTCCCCTTCCCTCCTCACTCACACACCCCACATGGTCACATGAAAGAAGGAGAGAAGGGATCATCTTCTTACTCATTGACCAAGACAGAGACATCTTCCTGCTCTTCCTTGCGCCTATCAGGGTGCTGCACTGCCGTGAGCACTGGGAAAAGGCAGCTGCTTTTGTCCAGTAGTTGCAGGCCTGCAAACAGAAATAACACAGCTGCAGCCAAGACTAAACACAATGCACACAGACAGCACACACACAGACTAGCCTTAGAGATGCATTTATGTTCATACCCCTGCATGTACTTTAATGTGCTAGACCCCAGGTTGGAAACTGCACAGATGAGATCCCAGCAGGACTGACTCAGCCCTTCCAAATCAATCGATCTCTTTGTGGTTTGCTAGCTGTGAGTCTTTTGAAAAAAGCTGCAAATCTGAGAGCTCGCTCTGCTCTGTGGGGACAGTGAATATCCCATCTCATCTTTGAGCAGAGAGGAAGGAGTACCCTCATCTTTCTGGTCAAAATTGTCCCCATTCCTTATTGCTGTGCTCCAGATGGTTGCTGCAAGCAGTGCCAAATTATGTTGATGAAGTTGTATGCACAGTCCGTAAAGAATTTCAAGGCAGGGATTAAACAGTCACTATGACTCAGATCAGGTTTTAAAACCAGTTTTGTCACTGTATCTCAGTGCTTAGTGACTCACAGAGGTCTTCATGAGAGAACAGGCAACTAAGAATAACTGTCTTAGAAGGAACTTAATATTTTCTTGCCTGTTTTATGGTAGCCACAGATCCTAAGCGCAG